GTGAAGTTTTTGGGTGTTGTTGATGAAAACCTGACCTGGAAACCTCATATAAATTACTTAAGAACAAAAATAGCAAAATCTATTGCAGTACTACATAAGGTAAAGGAGTTGTTTAATGATTTAATGCTGATGAGGGGGTAAAATTATATACAGTATGTGCATGTATGTATATATACTGTATGTGTTTATACATATATGTACAGTATGTATATGTGAGTGTGTGTATTTATGTGTATGCATATAAATATGTATATATATTCTTATTTTTATTCTTTTTTGTTACATGGGGCAGATGTTAAGATTGTTTTCTTCTGCTTCCTTTCATTTTATAAGATTTGTGTTTCTTTTTTGTTGTTATGTTGAAATCTTTGTTTTTATTGAAATGAATAAACGATTAAACTAAAAACATGGCTATAACTCAGCCAGTTTTACAGATACTGAACAAAAATTTGTGTTTTCGTAGCTGAAAGTCATCCTCTACACGTCTCCTGAGACGTTCATAGCAGATGATGACATAGTTATTCTGCTTTTTATTCTGCTGTTTTTATAGCCCTAGAATAAAAAGCTTTACACCAAAATGTACATTATGAAGGTTGTCTCAGTTGTTGCATCTTCTTGTAAGCGCAGCTGGATCGAGTAACGTGGAGGTCAGGACTCTGTGGGGGCCACACCATCTGTTGCAGAACTCCATGTTCTCTGTAACCAGCCCGCCGTCAGCCTCCGTAGCCTGTTTTATGATGTTGTGGCCTAAAATCCCCCTCTCCTCCTCCTCCTCCCCTCTGCAGCGATGGCAGACTTCCACGTCCAGCCAGAGTCGGTGCACGCTGAGGAGTCCGGCGTGGCCCGATTCCAGTGTCAGATCCACGGCCTGCCGGAGCCCGTCATTAGCTGGGAGAAGGACAGCCGTCCTGTAGACACTGCAGATGAAAGGTGGGTGAAAACACAACATTACTCTTTTTTTTAAACGTCTAGCCATTTTTTAAGTGTGTTTTTCCTCTTTTAGGTACACTCTTCTACCAACAGGTGTTCTGCAGATTACCGGAGTGCGAGAGGAGGACAGTGGGAAGTTCTGCTGTGTGGCTCATAACAGTGCAGGAGTGAAACACAGCACCGAGGCGCTCCTCACAGTTTCAGGTCGGTTTTCACTTCAGCAGACAGTAGCTGTGTTTTTATGCGCATTTTGAAGTATTGCGTTCGAAAAGGTGGATGGAAACGACAAAATTTGCAAAAACGTCCTTAATTTCACAAAAACTTTTAATGCTCGCTTGAGCTGGTTTTTGGATTTTCCGAAAAAAGAGTTAATGCGCAAAAGTGGAGATGGAAATGAATTTGCCAAATAAGTTCTGACATAGTGAATATTTACCTCGATCAGCTGTCCAGCCATTGTAGCGGCTGCAGCTGGACCCTGCTCCCGCTGTCGGAGTTTTCCCAGTTATAACGTGAAGAGAATTGCATTTCTTTCTCTACGTCTTCAGACAGTATGTAACATCGCCAACACTAGCTGATATGCCAGAATAATCCCAGTTTTAATAGCAAAACATTTCTGATAACTTCTCTCCATTGTTCTGAGATGTGTATCCCTGAGTTTGTGACTTTACTTCCTGTTTAGTACAAAGAACGAAAGAACGAAGAGACGAGAAAACATCAATTTTCATCTCTGAGCTGTTTTCCTTTTACAGGAGAATTCAGCATCTTGACAATCAGATTTGTCTCATGAGCCAATGAGCAACTCTTTTTGTCTAGAATCAAGACACCTTCAGTCTTGATTCAGCTCCATTATTTTGAAACTTCTGGTGAAAAGCTTTTATTTTTGAAGAAAACCTGAACGGAGAACCTTGTCTCTCTCTCTGCCGGACAAAAGCAGACCTTCTGAGACGCTGTAAAAACAAAATGTGGAGTTTTTACTGGTCGTAAGGTTCCTGAACTGGATATCTTAACAAACCGAGTGACTCCTGTCCAAGCTTGACCAGACGGTCGAAAACACCAAAAGTTAAAGCTGTGGTTTGTAAAGTGTTCGGAGGTCCGGCCGACGTGGGGGTGGAGATGCAGGGTGCTAGTTTTGGTTTCCATATTTTGATAAGATAATTGATAATTCGTAAATCTTAAAACTAATCCTCCTTTTCTTTACTGTTCTTAATCTCAAAACCTTGCCATAAGTTTAATGTGCCTGTAAACATTTGGTTTATCAAGATCAAAATCTAAGGTTTACTGTGTTCTTTCTGAGTTGTCATATTTTACGTTTATCAGTACAGACGCGTGAGGGATAACTGTTAATGTTTTAACTCATAAAGTTCTGATTATTCACATTAGTTTGTACATAAGTAGTTTATTTTATTAAGTAAATAAATATCATTTATTTTAGAAAACTTGAACTACTGAGCTGGTAAATTATTGTGTGTGTTTCTCACTTTCATCTCCCCAGACAGAAAGAACCCATGATTCCTCATTACTTTAAGTTTTGAGAAGTGTAAGAGATAATAATATTCCTCTACAACTGTCGGATGTAATGCCCCTTTGTGTAGCCTGGTTTATTCGCTCCAAGCCTGTTGATGGAAACACACACGTCTTCTTTTTTGTCCTTTTTGCAACATTTCAAAAGTTTGCTCAAAATTTGCATTAAAATTGGATGGAAACTACTGATTAATCTGAGATGGTTCATCTGAAGTTCATCACGCTCGTTCGCTTCTGAACGTCCTCGCTTTGTTTTTTGTTTTTTTCCTGCAGGTTCTCAGTCGTCTGTTTACAAAGAACCTGTGATTCTGGTCGGCCCTGAAAACCTGACCCTCACTGTTCACCAGACGGCCATCTTGGAGTGTGTTGCTACAGGATACCCTCAGCCCATTGTGTCTTGGAGCAGACTAGGTGAGAAACTTTCCTTCTGCTGCAAAAAAACAACACAGATTTTTATTTTTTTCTTGCGTTACTGGTGTTAGCATTTGGAAAATTTAAGGGACTTTATGCAACCTCATGGGTTTTTCCTGCTTTTTTACTCAGGGTAAAGCAGATGTGTACACAAATAAATCTACTGTGTGTACATGAGTCATTGTGTTCCAGTATTAAGCCTGAGGGCAAAACATTATACTTCACTCTGCTCTGATAAATTCATGCTTCATCTCCTCATGAAGTTGAACCTCCTTCAAAGCACCGCAGAGTAATTGCTACGAGCTGCTGAAGCAGATACGATCAGTTTCTTCTCCTGGCATGCAGATTTTTTTTTCTTAACCATCACTCAAAGCCTGTCCAGAACAATTCTTCATTCTCCTATCTGTTTTCTTTACCTATTATCCGATCTGATTTGTTGTTCCCAATGTAAATTGCTGCCCCTCTCAGGCAGTCGGGCATAATCAGATTGACAGTATTGCCTTACACAACGCTAGCAGAATGAAATGCTAACACGATGGGATTTGTGTGTATTAGATTATGGCAGGGAGGCTGGGATAAGCTGGATAATGAATCTAGTTTCACATCAGTCACTCCTTAATGCCACAGTTAGTTTGTTGCTATTCATTGAGCAGCGCCACAGCCTGCGAGCTGTGTGCTTCTTCTTTCCTGACACTAAATTAATTAGTGGATGGCTGAGAGAAACTGAAGACGAAAGGAAAAAAAAAAAGAAAGGAATGCACACACTGAAAACAAATGAAAAACACCTAAGAAAAAAATAAAATGCTTTTCATTGAGACAAAGACAGACTGGAATGTGATTTCTTGGAACATCGAGTTAATGGAAATCAATGAATTATCAAATAAAAGCAATTTAGTAGTAATAATTAAACAAAACCGCTTGAATAAGTCATTTATTTATGTTGAAACCATTCTATATCAATCATGTTCTACCTTAATATGGAGATAAAGAATAAAAATGCAAAATGCTGAAAAGCTTCACTAAAATTCATTAAATAATAAAATATTTCAGTTGAAAAAGGCAGAGCAGAAAGTGGATTCAGCAAAACTTTAATTAAAAACTTTAAAAAGATAAACTTACTAAAAACTCCAATTAGCTAAGCCATTGCTAACACGTCAAATTAGTAAAGCCTAAATGTCAAATTTGCAAACAGTAGCTGTATTAGGAGAACACTAGCTGAAAGCTAACATTTAAGGTTCACAAAACTTGCGATAAAAGGTCAAATTAGCTAACAGGTCAAATTATTAAAACAATAYCTAAAATGTCAGATTTGCATACAGCAGCAACACTAGCTGAAAGCTAACATTTAAGGTTCACAAAACTTGTCATAAGAGCTCAAATTAGCTAAACTTCTGCAAAAAGCTAAATATCTCAAAATGTTAGCCAAAAGCTAAATGTAGCAGACCAGTAGTAAAAATATAAAATTAAGAAAATCATAGCAAGCTATGACTATCAAAACAGTACTTAAAAAAACTTGGCAACACCATAGCTAAAAGGTAATATTAGCAAAATCGTAGCTTAAAACGGAAAGACAAGACAGAAGCAGAGAGACAAAAARGGAGCAAGTGTGCTGTAGGGATTTTCTGAGAACATCTTTTAGGTGGAATTTACAAGTTTTGTTGTTTTTTATTTCTCTGTAAAAAAAGGTAAATAATTCAAAATGATAAAAGTTACAGCTACTAAAGTCAAACTAAAGCTTTAAATAAAGAATGGCTAAAGAAAACACCTAGCCTGAACATACGGAGGAAACAAACAGGATTAAAACAGCGTTCACACAATAACTGCATATTATTCACTGTATGGTTTGTACCTGCTGGCCTGTGCTTCTGCATCATGCCCCCCACTCCCGTCACGCTGGCCCCCTGCCTCCCTGCCTTTTAACACATCAAGTCTGGACCATCTAGGCTGCAGATGGAAGTCGTAGATGGGATTAGKTTGCCCCCTTGGCCCCATAGCCAATATTAGAGGCAGACTGAAGTCATTGTTGGGTTTGACACCACAGATAGGAAGCACAGCAAAGTGTGAGCTTATCATGTAATTGCAGCAAGAGCAGAAAGGAGGGATTGTGTAAGGAAATAGATTACAAGTTGCAGTTATAGTTTCTGGTCTGAAAGCAGCTGAAATATCTTCTGAGATGAAAAAGGTACTTAAAATATATATAAAGTTTTAAGTGTTAATAAATGAACGCTATCCAAGGAGAAACTAAAGTCACGATTAAAGAAAAGAAATACTTTGTTTCCTGTGGTTTCTTTCTAAAAATAAAGAAACACTTCAGTGTTGTACAGACAAAAATGACAAAACAAAGAAAAAAGAAAAAGCTGCACTCAAACAGCAAAGAGAAACTCTGTGACCTTCCTGCTGCTTGTTGCATCAGAAGCTCAGCACATTATGATTCTGTGCATCGCTCTCAGTGAAAGCTGCATCCTTGAGGGACAGAAATAGCACTGTCTCTGTCAGTTTGAGGTTGGGTTCTTGCATTAAATTTAGTCTCTTTTTATTTTTTGCTAGTATTTTAATCTCCCTATAATCCTCAAAGCACACACTCACCTGTTAATCCCTGACATAAGCAGCACATTTGTACACTTGGCCCTTTTTTTATTGCCCTATTTTTGTCAACTTTTCTCTTTTTTTATTCCAACTTGCCTGATTAGACGGCCGGCCCATCGGAGTGGAGGGAATTCAGGTTCTCGGCACGGGGAACCTGATGATCTCGGATGTTGGCGTGCAGCACTCGGGGGTCTATGTGTGTGCTGCGAACAAACCAGGAACTCGTGTCCGCAGGACGGCTCAAGGACGTCTTGTAGTCCAAGGTGAGTTCTGTGTAAAATAAATGTGCTTTTCTTTTTTTTTTAAGAGATGATGTGAAGATTATTAAACTAGAGAGAGAAACAGCTCTATCAATGTGATATTTCTGCAGAAGGAACATGATCATCATCCCTTTAATGGAGGCATCTCTGCCTTAAGCTGAAGCAGTTTTTCTGCCATGATCAAACGCTCTGTGCTACAAGTGTTTTATGTAGGTGTTCTCGAATTTAAACCCTTAATTCTGAACTAGTGGGTGTTGCAGATTTTCTCAGACTTGAGGTTGTGTGGTATTTTCACACTGGAGGAAAAGCAAAGCAGGTCACATCCTTTTAAAAGCAACATTTTTCCACACACAAGCTGGAGTTTTTGCTTGTTTTTCCAGGTGTAGCTCTGGTAAGATCTGCTTTGTAWGACCTTATTTTGRAATAACAACGCATTATGTAATAATGTCATAAAATCAGGCRWCAAAATGTAATAAACCCACGCTAAAACCGCGTTATGTAATAATTGACACAAAATGTAATAAAAGTCTTCAATGCATTATGTAATAGCATTATAACATTTTGCGGCAATTGTTACTTAATGTGATGGTGTTATAATCTGGTGCATTATGTAATAAACAATCAAAAACCAGTATTCTTGTTCATCCTAATCAATATAATTGTAATAACTGTCATGTTGCAAACACTACATAATTAAATCTTTATAACTTTGGTCAATAAACACCAAACCTCTCATCTTTTATTTGCATTTTCAGTCAAATTCTTATGTATATGGATGTATAGACCAATCTCATGGTTTTTTTTTTCATGTTTTATGGAATCTTTCAAAAACTTAGTTTCTAATTTATTTAACGTGTCAGAGCTTGTAGGACATTAAAAAACAATTATTAACATCAAATATCCACTTCCAACCTACTCTATTGCTAGAAACAATTCTTCAACCCTCATTTCCTTCTGATACAGAAGCCGACAGTCCTCCTGCACCACGCCCCCTCCCCTCCACGGCTGATGGTCCACCTGCACCCCCCAACCCCCCCTGCGTGTGATTAATATGCTTTTTTTTAATGAAAATTACATATTTTTAAGGCTCATTATACAGGTAAACATCTGAAGGGGTTGACATTTGTGTACAACTAACTTTTAGATATATTTTGAGGGTTGTCTACAAAGTAGAATAATTTCTGTAACAGGGATCAGGACAGTAAATATGAAAATTCAAATAAAAGATGAGAAGTACGGTGTTTATTGACCAAAGTTATAAAGATTTAAAAATGTAGTATTTGCAACATGACAGTTATTACAATTATATTGATTAGGACGAACAGAAATACTGGTTTTGATTGTTTATTACATAATGCACCAGATTATTACACCACCACATTTTGTAATAATTGCCGCAAAATGTAATAACGTTATAACATAATGCGTTGAAGAATTTTATTACAWTTTGCAGCAATTATTACATAATGCGGTTTTAGTGCGGGTTTATCACATTTTGAAGCCTGATTTTATGACATTATTACATAATGTGTTGTTATTACAAAATGAGGTCTTACTTGTTTCTTTCTCCATCCTATAGAGCACAAAAAGCTATTTACAACTTGTTTTATTAAAAAATAAAATCCTCTTTATTCAAAAGGCAGTTTGAGCTGGACGAACACTTGAGCAACTGATTTAAAATCGAATCAAAAGGTAGAGGAAAAGTCTCAACAATGGCAGAGCAAAAATACTTCATTTATAAGAATTTCTCATCTCTTTAATGGTAATAAGAGCTTAGAACACATTTAATCTACAGCAACACAAGAGGAAGTATTCACTCCTAAATTATTCTGTGCAAGCTAGTGTAATCACTGATTACAGCTCAAAGTTTTACCAGTTGGATATTACACAAAGGCAACTTATATCAAGTGCAATACATTACATTTATAGAGGCATGTTTGATTACATCTTTTATAGCAGATAGATTTGTTTTAAATGGAGTAAAGGCTGTTTTTCATTCAGAGTGATGGTTACACCTCAGGTCTGCACAAAATTTGCAAATTCCACTGTGTTTTATTGATGAGTTTGACTTTTTCAATTTAATTTCAATGAATCATTTTTTTTAATGATACTGTAATGACACAATGTAAACATTATATATTACAATTTTTGACATTAAGACAAAGATATGAACAGATTTGACCTGAAATAAACAACATATTAAGAAACCAGGGGCGGAGCCAGAGGGGTGGCCAGGGTGACAAGTATCACCCCTGGCAAATGATTGGCCACTCCCAGGCGCCACCCCTAATTGATTGACAAGTTGGGAGTAGGGTTTGCATTCAGCAATAAAAGGTGGTCAGTTACAGCAAAAARAAAGTAAATATCTGGTATGCTGTATTATTTATTGTGGAGGGAACCTATTAGAGTGTGGAGAAAAAATATTTTTTCTAAACCACTGAATTAATATAATGAAACAATTCCACCACACTAAATTTCAGCTGAATGTATATAAAATAGCTGAATTATAGCCGTTTGAATTTAGCTTTGGTGGACATCTTGGATTCTTTAGTCTGATTTTAGAATCTGTTAGGCACCACTCTCAGCTACCACCACACTAAATTTCAGCTTAATATCTTTAAAAGCTTAAAATTGAGATTTCAAAATGATATGGGGATTGCACTTGGCTAAAACCTTACCAAATTTTAGTTCAGTATTTCTAAAAAATGTCTGAGGTCCAACTATTTGAAAGTAGTTTTGGTGGCCATCTTGGATTTTGTATTTCCATTCAGATTTTGTTAGATTATTCTCAGCTACTGCTAAATTAATTTTCAGCTGTATATTTTGTAAGGCTTTGTAAAATTAGCATTTGCAGTTAGCTTAAATCGGGACTTGKAATCATTTTTGGCTACACCACAACAAATTTCAACCCAGTCCRAAAATGGCTGGATTATAGCCACTTAAATTTAGCTGTGGTGGCCTTCTTAAATGTTCAAATCCAGMTTTTTTTTTTATATATGCCCCCCATAACACCTTGTGCRACCCCTTCCAAAAACTTCTAGCTCRGCCCCTGTAAGAAACCCTGTATATTAACTGCCACCAAGAAGGAAACAGCCAGTATCTGCGTTACTCACATATTGATCAAATAGACCACACTTTGTTTCAGCCGGTAGCAGTATTGATCCAAATCAATATTTCATTTCATCGGCTTGTCAGATCTAAAACAAGAACTTACCTAGCAGGGGATAAAAGTAAAAAAGTATAATGATAAGCATGGATGTTAATTTTGCAGCTGATGCTTTGTCTTTTATGGATTTTTGACAACAAAGAGAAACTGTTAACACTGGATAAGTTTGAGCAGTAGAGCCTTGTTTTTTTTTTTTTTTTCACTCACTGTCCTTGAGGAATCGGTCCATTAGTCTGTGGAAATAAGCCACTTGACACCTCTGTGAATATGAGAGTTTCGGTGGCCATCAATTCAGAAAAGGAGCTCAGCGGTCATGAACTTTACCTCCAGATTAACACAGACGAGGGTCCTCTCAGAAACGTCACTTGTTAACAAATAGACTCCCAGGAAACATAATTTTTAGCATCTTTCAGGTGAGGTTCAGCAGAAGCAAAATAGGAGTCAAACTGCAAGAGCCAAAATGTAAAAAGAAGCAGCGGCAAGATGGATGGCTGGTGCCGATGATCCGACCCACACCTTCAGAGGRGCAAATCGATCTCCTCCAGAGCTCCCTCTGATCTCTGCCTTTGAGTCGGCTTTAAAAAATAAAAAGAAGACTAGAAGAAGAAACGGACAATGAAGCTCGGAAGGAAGAAGATTAATGAAAGGATCGTCTCTGTCAGCTTCCTCCTTCATTTAATTACCTCAGGGCACTTTTGCTTTTCCAGTACAGAAAAACCAGAGATGTGTCGAACAACATTTGGTGTTCGAGGTGGAACGGAAAAAGAAAGGTAAAAACAAAAATTAACCTGGAGGTTAATTGAAATAAAATATATATTGTTCCTTCAGGATAAGAGCGCTGCTGCTCTGTAATCCTGTTCTTGACAACGTATCATTTGAAAAGACTAAAAGCATCCATTTCTCAGCAGTGAGAACAGGTAGTTTCTGTGCAGCTGCTTCTTGATGAAATCATTCCTCTTCTTCAACACAGTCGTTTATTTTTAGTGATGCTTCTTTAATACTGTGAGCACGGACACTGCAGTTGATTTTCAGACGTTTAACCCCACTGTAGTGTGAAACGCGTATTATTCTGCGCATGTTTTTTTTTTCTGAACTACAAGCAGATTTACTTTAAACCCCATAGGTTCTAAATGCTCACGGGTCAAGCTTTATAATGTCAGCGCTTTGACTTCGTCTTTACGTCTAATTTGGATGAAGTCTGATCATTGTAATACTGCACTGAAGGCTGGACTTTCCAAAGGGCCACAAAGTTAAAAGGTTAAAAATAGTTTTGTTGTTCTTAATGAATGGATGCTCACCAAAAACTATTCATGAGTTTCTGATTGGCTTGCTTCCTTTTCCCCACAGTTTTACTAAATGATTTCAATTTGTGTAATTTTGCAATAAAATGCAATTTAAGTGACCAAATTAATAGTTTGTAAATATTTGTCATGCTTTAGATGACTGATGTAATGTGATTTTATGCAAATATTCTATATTTTCAATAATTTAAATAATAATGAATTTCATTTGTAAGGATATTTTTTACTAACAAAAATCTCAAAYTGCTACAAAACAGCAAAACACACAGTAAACAAAACTAGTAAAATACAAAAATGAAATAAAATAAAAATTACACTTATAAAAACAACAACCAGAGTTGGGAAAAGAAAAAAAACTAATTAAAATTAACAACACATTCAAACAGGCTAGTTTAAAAAGGAAACTTTAACCTCCAAAACAAATTTTTAACATTTAGATCCACATATTAATTCTTTAAAATACATTAAGATTACATTTTCATATTTCTTTAAAATTGTTTGAATTACTCGTGTTCTGTGCCTTGACCTTTTCTCTCGTTGTTTTGAAATTATTTAGAAAAATTGATGTTCTTCATGATTAGAAATAAAGAAACTTTGCAGATCCACTTGTGTGCCGCAGTAGTCCTTTAAACTTACATTAAAGCCAAGAGCTGCTCTCGTCTGCATGACTAGTAACCTTGAAATTAATGCACAAATACTCCGTATGAAAATTAGTTTTCATAAAAACGAGTGTGGGAATCTAAAATTAGTTGCGACCCAGGCGCCTACACCCTCTTTAATCCTAATCTGATTACACGACAGAGCTAAAATCAAACAATATGACTCAAAAGCTAAAGGTTTTTTCCTTTTAATGTGTTTATATGAAAACAGGAAGTACTCAGGCCACACTGACTCTACAGTTCATCGACCTACACTGAAAATACTTTTAGATCAATAAAAAAACCACCTTTGAACATCAGAGGAAAATAATCAGATATGATAACAGCTGGGACAATAATGAATGCAGAGAAGATGATAGACACATAACGTCTCCCAGAAAATCAACTCCTGCAGATGTAGATTTAATCATCTGAATAACTGATTAATGATGGAATCTGGTTCCATTGAATTATAGTTACAGACTTGATAGAACAAGTTTTAAGGTCAATTAGATCTAAAGAGAAAAAAAAACATTATCAGGCCTCTCTTTGTCTTGTTTCCTGTTTGCCATCTCTCCCCCACAGTCCGTTTTATTTACCTGTTAGTGCATTGATCCTGTCTCCTTCATATTCATGGTAATTGACCTCTTTCCTGAATTATAGGTTCAAACCAGTATTTACACCTTACAGCTTTACCCAAGGCTCCCATATGTTCAGCTGCTCATGCTTATCCTTGCTTTTTCCATTGTGATGCCTCAGGATCCAGTTWAAAAAAATCTTTACACTGTATTTCTGTAAATTGGGCTGCGGTAGCTCGGTGGTCATTGCTGCGCTCTTGTAATCCTGAGTTTGCAGGTTTGAGCTCCGGTTGCATCAGACTGAGCATCTAGTTAAGCAACGACCAAATTATCTTTAAAAGTTTGCTCCAAAAAAAACATAGTTTTGTAAAAGAAGTCGCTACCGTTCTAGCAGCATCTTTAGTTAAATGGGACCTAATTATTAGTGGTGCGACAATAAATGTATCTGTATTGAACCGTTCAATACAGTGCTTTAGGTTCAACACACACTATGWATCGAACAACACAGGTTRTTAAATTTATTTTATAAGCCTGTCTTCTGAAGATGCTCTGTGTTGAAGGATCAGTGGATCTGTGCTCGACTACTCCACCTAGGCTGCATTGTCGAGCGCAGATCCACTGAGAAACTTTATGTTTCAGCAACATTTAATTTACAGTACAAACTATTTTGAGGTTAAACAAATGTTCATAATTAATTTCAATCAATTAAATGTTAAGAAGTGCATGGAGATTTCTCTTTTTTTCTATCAAAAAAATGTTGAACCGTGAGACTAAAGTATCGAACCGAACCAATCGTGAATTTTCTGTATCGTTGCACCCCTGCTAAATTACGCTCGTTTATTTGCCCTCCCTGCTTGTAGCTCCAGCGGAGTTCGTTCAGCCTCCACAGTCCATCGCCCGTCCGGTCGGCACCACCGCCATCTTCACCTGCCAGGTGCAGGGCGAGCCTGACCCGCAGCTCACCTGGCTGAAGAACGGACAGGTCCTGGAGCCCAGAGGACACGTCAAACTCAGGAACAACAACAGGTAAGAAGAATGAGACGAAAGGCTTTGTTTCTGTAACGGCTTTATTATAAATGACATCATTTTATTTTTAACCTTCGTGATCTTTTTGAACCAAGGACGAAGCATGAGGTGTTTGTCAGTTGAACCAAAATGGTGACTTAGGTTTTGCTGTAGTAAATTTGTAGGGAATTCAGGCTTTTGCATGCCTCCAAGCTGTGCTTTGTGAATTTCCACAAGCATGGAAACAAAACCAGAAACATCGCAGAAAACCCAATTTCTACTTGGCTATTAATACAATTCTGACGACTCTTTGGTAATGGAGCAAGGTTCCCCGTCGAGAGCAACAACCACTAATTTAAATGTGTTGTACTATTAGTCCTGTGACCCCCTGAGTGGCAGCCATGTTAAATGTTTTACCACTCAGGGGTGCCAAGCAGCACTGTAGAGAACATAAACCTCTATCCTCTCATAGCTTTGCCTAAGAAGGATGTGAGGAGGAGGAATCCGCTCTAATTCCACTTGCAGCTCTTCACTCTATTAAGCCAAAATAATTGGCTTTTATTTTTTAAAGCACCAATTGTCTTTAAACTGAAATATTTCTGAAAAAAAATGCAAAAGATTTCTCCTGAGCTGTGTCTGATTAAGCCAAATGTTTTATWTTTACTGTTTCAGTTTGAACGTTTTTCCTTTCCGTTCATCCATCTGGGTGCTGAATATAAACTGCAGTGTGTTTTAAACTGCACTTCTTTATGAATTACTGCACATGCAAAGCTCAATTTCCCCAGATGACCCTGGCCACAGTCGTCCGAGTGCATTATTAATGTTCATTTAAAGGGAAAAAATGCGAAGTGAATGTATCAAATCAGATATGCACAAAAAAAAAATCAATGTTTGCACACCACAGCAGTTAAGTGAAAGCAGCAGACACACTCATCACTCTTGTTCATTTTCCCCACTCCCACTTCCATCCAGCGGTCGGTATCAGCCGGACAGAAATGAATGAGACGAGGGTCTGAAATGTGGAATTAAAAAGGGTAAAAGTGAAATGATGATTCTGCAGGAAGAATAAATGAAGAGAGAGAATGAGTCGTCGCAGCGTTTCCTCTCGCAGCTATTACATYTGACCTGCGATGATATGAATCTCATGCATCGCAAAACCGCACTCTGCAATTGGTTCTGGAGGCAGAGCTGCCATTAGCTAATGAGCTCATAAACTCAGCTGGTTGACCAAGAAATGCGTTTCAGCAACGGAGGGAACAGAGCAGCTTAAAGTGTGTCTGAAGAATGTTCTCTGAGCGGCTGAACTGTTCGAGCGCCGTACGGCGTCAATCATCTTCACAGTCTGCTGGAATGATGTAAACCTTCAGGTGCTTAATGCTGTTCAGAAGAATCGTCTTACTTCTTGAAACAAAAGCTTGAAATGTACCGAACGGGATTTTATTCTGACAAATTACCTCTGGAGGGAACAAACTGCAAATGGGAACACGTACTGACGATCGTACTTCAAGTCAGAGAAACTAAAATCATCTTCTGTTAGAAATAACATTCATTTTGATCAACTATGTCGTATCACAAAATCTCAGTTTGCAGAGTGAATGACTCTCAGCAATTACCACACCAGTTGTATGAGCCCATATAATGATGTAATCTAGGGATGCACGATGTATCAGCATTAACATCAGGATCAGTCTGATAAATAAAACTGGGCTGATATTAACGTCTGATATCGATTTCCCACTTTTTAGCTTTGTGTTTGTTTTGTAAAGGGAAATGAATGGTTGGCCATTGTACAAGTAGCACAACGAAATTTACAGATGASCAGCTCTCGAAGGCAGTGCAAAAACAAGAGTTCTCAAAAGCCGTAATTAAGTAACCACAATAAATATATACAATGAAATAAGAGAAGCAAAGTTTAATAAAAGTAGACYAATAAAAATAGAAAATAACAACAGTTTTGATATGTTCAGGATATCAGAAATATTGCACTTGATGTGTATGTGTGGTTATGTTTCACCAAACAATGTTGTGAAGAAAATATGATCATGATAGTGAAAGGAATAACTCAAGTAGAGAGCCATGTCTAGTCGTTTTTGTACAGTATCGAAAAAGACACAAAGTGTATCTGTGCGTATTTGTATGTAAATAATTTATGAGTTTGTGTAATATCGGTAAATATCAGTTATCGGCCYTAACAGCAATGTTGGTYTCGGATATTGATATCAGCTGAAATTTTCATAATGGTGCATCCCTAATGTAATCTGTTTTCATTTGATCCAAAACACAGGAAATACACACAGGTGTATGGGTGGGTGTATCAATCTAAGTATCGATACCAAGTTGAGTATCYGATRGGATCYATTGCATGATGWGATCAATTATTTTGTTTACACTTTGTTTACACTTTGTTTGCACTACTGACTTTCTTTTTCCACAAGTAAAACGAGGAATACAGTCAGTAGTGCAGCGTCTTCAAATTATTTGGAGTTAATTAGTCGTCTKCATCAGTGGTTCCCAAATATTTTCCTCAAAGCCCCCCCTTTTTTACTACCAAACCAAGCTGAGGACTACTTTAGAGTTAAGAATCAAGAGTTTGGAACAGATGAATTATATAATAGTGGCAGTGGGATTCAAACCCATGCCCCCTGCACCTGAGATGACTCAGCCTCTCTACCTGCTTATTTAATCGCTCGTTGATTATTCCTGTTACAGCAGAAGACATGCTAACTCCAACGTTTGATATCCTGCAYAACATGTACGCTTACAGATTAAATTGTTAGAAACTTTATTAGAGTTTAACTTGAAGCCCAAAAAGTCAAAAAGTTTGTGTTCAGTGTAATACAGAGAAAGGAAATTATATGAAATTTACCTTCTAAACTTCACCAAAACAAAAGTAATGACATGTAAATGAATTCAAGAGCTAGAGGCGACACAATTATCTTGTTTTTTTTTGTGTGCGTGTGAATAAATGTGCGCATATTGCTCTATCATGGCTGATAGCAARGGCTTGGATAAATAGTGCCACAGAGCTGGAAGAGAGATTTTTAATTAATGTATGTTGTTGTGTTTGTGTACATAGTCACACAAAGGGCTCTCCCTTTTAGCCATCTCTCATAACGCTGACCTTCAAGAGCAAATCAGACAAGGGGAGGGAGCGGAATCGATTCCACATTTCATTCACACACACGTTTGTGCGTGCATTAATCACAAACCAAGAGGGTCTGCATGTGCACAAATAGCCCCCGTGGTGCATAACATCATTCATTTGGCACACATGCATAATCAAACGCTAAAATTCGCCAGCGCGTTGTCCTTTTGCTCCTCCTCATTCTCATGCGATACTTCACACACTCCAAAAACACGGCGAGGACAAGGCCACGTGAAAGGACGCGGTGACGTCAGCGGCGAGCCGATTGGCTGCTTCAGTCAGTAAACAGGAGCGCTGGTGTGCGCGCCCCTCTTTTGTCGCCACACACACACACACATGTTTGCACAGCTATCCATTTGGGGACATTCCATTGACTTCCATTACATTTCTACAGCCTAACCCTGACCACAAACCCTAAGGCTAACCTCACAGGTATCTACCAGACCCTAAAACTAACCTAAACTCAATTCACACCTCGGTCCTAAACCCAGCCCCCAACCCACCAATGGCATTTAAACCAAATGGGGACTCGATTTTTGTCCCCAAATGCACCAGTTGTCCCCAAATGTAGGCATTTTGTATTAAAATTGCCCCGAAATGTCACCAGAAACAAACCCACACACACACAGCATCCCCAAACACAAACAGCGTCTGGAGCCGCCTCGGTTCTGACCGGGCTCCTGTGAAATGTGCTGTTTGAAGCCTCTGTTAATGCTGCTGCTAATTATGTATCTCAGAGCTGGTGTGATCGTGTCACAAGCACAAGCTGTGATCTCGCATCAGTCAGAAGAACAATCTGAAAGGCAGTCTGTATTGTTTTTAAGCAACAGACTCTGGGTGTGCGTTAGCATCATGTTCTGTAATTAACATCTGAAGGACCAGGCCTCTGCGTAAACCTGAGTTTGTCACAGAGACTGGGTTTTTTTTTTCACCACTTCTTAAAAGTTTTGTTTTGTGCTTCACTAAGAACCTTTTTTTTTTTTTTTTTTTTGTTCCTGGTCCCCCTCTGTGCCTCACGTTTCCTTTCCCACCCCCCATCACAGGAGCTGGGGCCAGAGCATTGGCCTTGAACTCTGACCCGCCTGTAATCAGTCATATCCCTGGGCCCTTCCCTCCTCTCAAGCAACAGACAGCTCGTCGCTCCTCCCCTCCTCCTTCCGCACCTCTTCCTCCTGTTCTCTCTTTGTCCCCGTGTTTTCCCCCCACTTTTCACTCTCGCTGAATCCAGAACGGCCCTGCTGCCTTTTGATGGGTTGCTGCTCAGAAACAATGGAGAGTAAACACAGACTTAGCAGCTGAACAACAGACTCCAAAACCCCACTGTCAGCCGTCCTCCTGGCCCGCAGCCTCATCCGTCAGTCTGTGAAATGACCTCGAACTGATGAGTAAATGATGGTGTCAACTTGTCAGGACGGGACAGCTTGGTTTAGGGTCTCAAAACAAGCAAACAGCCAGAAATCGAGCCTTCCACCGCCCAGGTCTTTTCTTCTCCGTCACCCAGACTCTCTTTTGTCCCTSGCACATTGTTTGCAGCCACGGCCTGATTAATGCACTTTATAAAATTTATTCTGAAACTGACTGAAAACAAAGAAGCACAGTGGTTCCTTGAGCTTCAACTCAAGACTGATGTGAGAATTTTGCTGTTAAAGATCAGTTTTGTCAGAAAATAGCAGCGCAAATATGTTTAAAGTTAGCCGTGACGGGTGTTTTGTTTGTTTTTGCCAACAAACAAAACCATTATTGCTTAACAGTTCAAATGATTCTCTAAAATATAGTTTCTCTTTCTTTTGAGTCTTGTTTTTGAAACATTTTGCAGTTGGGTTTTAGCTACAAGAAGCAATTTGTTTGAACAAAAAGTAAGATTTTCCAACACGTG